TCTGATCCTGAACTCAAGCACCAGGAACAGCACGAGACGCACATGAAGGTAAAAAGTAGTCACTGTGGGGAGGGAGGCACTGGTGACTAAGGACTGCTGGGAAAAACAGAAGTGCTGCTGGCAGTGTTGAGGCCCCATTGGAGGGTGAAGTAGCCAGGATGAAGTGAGACTAATGAGTATAGCTGTAGCACCATATTCAGCAGCTGCTCTGAGGAAGGACAGCCAAGTTCTAGCAGAGGGCTGCACAAGGCCAAGGGTGTCTATAAGTCAGCCTTAATTACCTTAAGTAACATTTTTAAAACTGTTATTTATTTAGTTATTTGTATGTATGTATGAATGTATGTATGTATGTATGTATGTATGTATGTATGTATGTGGACATGACAGCTGTGTGGTCAGAGGAGAACTTGCAGCAGTTGGTTCTGTCTTACCATATGTGCCCTGGGGACAGAACCCAGGTTGTCAGGCTTGACAGCACACACTTTTTCCCACTGAGCCATCTTATTTGCCTCCTAAGTAACAAATACTTTGAAGAATTGGATTTGGAAGCCATACCAAAGTGGGGTTTTACTCATGTCATTTAGAAGTAAATGAAATGTGCAGGCATAAAATCCTAAATTTAGACTCAGTAATGGTGTTATGGCGGGGAGTCCTAGGTAAGGAAACAGACTGAATAAGTCAATACAAACAATTTCCTATAATATGTAGTAGTAATCGCTTTTGAGACACTGTAACAAACTACCTGGGGGCAATTATCACAAGAAAAGGTTTATTCTGGCTCAGTTTTATAATCCAGTCCATGATTAGCCGGGTCTATTACTTTTAGGCCTTTGGTGGGGTGCAGGGTATCCATGGTAAAGCGCACAGTGGCACTAATGGCTCACCGAATGGTCAGGAGACAAAAGAAGAAGGTACATAGGGTGCAGCATGCCCTTTGGGGTCGCATGCCCAATGACATAGGATCTCTCACTAGTCCCATCTTGTACAGGTGCTTCTACCTCCAAATGGTGCAAACCTAGGGAATAAGCCTTTCCCATATAGGCATTTGGGGATATTCAACATTCAAATGATAGCATATGCTAAGAGGCAGAGTTAGAGGACAAGAAGTGACTGAAGGCATAGGAGAGCTAAGGCCTAACTTCTCTTGAGTGGGGGAAGAGAAACAGAGATTAGGAGAACAGGGAGGTAATTGACTTCAACCAGGGGAAGAATGAGGATGCAGGTAAATATGATACTACCAGCAATAGGGTAGTGTTTGTTCTGTGACTGTTAGGACAGTATGTCAGGCTACTTTATCCTTACACAGACCCTATTATACTAAAAGATGAGCTAAGATTTGAAATCCCGGCAATATGGATACAGATACCCACTCCTTTACTTTAAAATTATACTGTAGATGGAAAAAGGAAGACATTGAAGTTGAAAAGTTTATATCTAACAGCTTTTCCCGTCACTGCAATTCCAGGGCAACAGGTTTGGGGCATGAGATGAAGAGAGATGGTAAGGTTTTGGAATAACCACCTAAAACAGCATGAAAGGTAGCTCCCCAGAGGGACAGCACACAGGGCAGGGCACTATAATGTGTGTGTAGATTTACCAATTCATAGAGCTGACCTATCCTTCCCTGTTATAAGTTCTCAGCAGCTTAGGGAAGAGAAATTCAAGAAACGGTACTAGTTGCCACACAGTGTAAAGGATACTCAAATGAGGGCACATAGGGGTAAAAATAGGTATGAGAAAGAAAAGTGTGTGTGATGAACAGATAGGGATTGGTCAGGGCAGATATGGCCAGGAGTTGGGGGTTGTGGGGACTGAGTGAAGGGAGGTGAGCGTTGGCAGAATGCTGAGATCAAGGAAAACAGGAGGCAGGGATTTATACGGTCTTTGATTGTAGCATTAGTACAGAACCAGGGCCACTGTCCACCTGAAGCTGCCCCCACCTCCACCTCCTAGTTGCCAGCAGGTACCCTACAGCGACTCCATCATTCTCATGGCCATAGGGAAATGACAAATACTCTGCTGTGATTGTGAAGTTATAAAGGACCAAATGTTTTCCCTGTCCTCAGTCCAGGGAATCAGAGGCAAACTTATTGCAAATACCTACTAGTCACATGGGTCTTCTCTGTTTTCAGAACCCCATAAGAGGGGAAACCCTGCTGTGTTTCTTGGGACTGACCTCTATTCTAACCCCGTTGTGCTATGTGTTCTTAATAACTTTTCTGATGATCTCTGACACAAAAGAAGGAACTGAATCAGACCTAATCAGATCGAACCTTACAGTCATTATATATGACACCATGATAGGTAAGGCAAAATAAAAAAAATAAAAGTGATGCCTTCCTGGGTTTTCTCTCTAAGCTTAACTTTCTAAGGATTAAGAAACATGTTCTTCATAAGCTACACCTACTACAGTGCTTTCCTCAATAAACACTGGATGAACGAAGATCACATTTCTTACATTAAGAAAAGACTTATATCAAAGGGTTCAAATTTGTATCTTGTGGTCTATGCTGGCCGCTTTTATGCCCTGCTGGTGAAGACTTCCAAGCAGGTAACACATAACTAAGTCTTAAAAGACATATAAACTAACCAAGAGAAAAAGTAGTTATGTGTCTGTGATGGCTAGTTTGATGTCACAGACTTGACATCAAACTAGCATCAACTTGACATCAAACTTGACACAAGCTATACTCATCTGAGAGAAGGGAACCTCCTCTGAGAAAATGCCTTTGTAAGATCAGGCTGAAGGCAAGTCTGTAGGACTTTTCTTAGCAATTGATGGGGGAAGGCTCAGCACATTGTGAGTGGAGTCATCCTTGAACTGATGGTCCTGGGTTCCATAAGAAAGCAGACTGAGCAAGCAACGAAGAACAAGCCAATAAGCAGGACCCCTCTGTGGCCTCTGCGTAAGTTCCTGCCTCTGGGTCCCTGCCCTGTTAAGAGTTCCTGTCCTTATACTTCCTGATGTGAAGTGTAAGCCAAATAAACACTTTTCTCCCCAAGTTGCTTTGATTATGGTGTTTCACCACGGCAACAGTGACCCTAACTAGGACATGGACCAAATCAGACTCACAAATAGTTTATTTGAGCTATACAATACATAGAACGCAAGTCAATACTTTTTTTGTTTTGTTTTGTTTTTTGAGACAGGGTTTCTCTGTGGCTTTGGAGGCTGTCCTAGAACTAGCTCTTATAGACCAGGCTGGTCTCAAACTCACAGAGATCCGCCTGCCTCTGCCTCCCAAGTGCTGGGATTAAAGGCATGCGCCACCACTGCCCCGCCCAAGTCAACACTTTTAAATCAAGAGATTTCACACAAAATGTGACTTTCTAGTTTCCCTCTAAAAAGGCAGAATTTAACAGTGAGTCCATACCCCCACACAGCAAGAAAAAGCTAGAGACATGTGATGGGATCTCCAGTCAAGGTGGCCTTAGAGTTTTCTTTTGGGTTTCCTCAAAATCTGGGTCATTCTAAAATGCTAGGTATTCATAAAGTTTCTCATGAATCACTATCTGAAACTACCTTCCTCTTCTTCTGTTTATGACAAATACCTTCAGCTTCTTATTTGTGTGTGGCTAATTTTTGTATTGGTAAATTCATTCACACTTGGATCACAGTTTACCTTACCAACCTGGCACAATACTTAAGATGAAAATAAAAATCTGTATGTCTATGATGACCTTCACCAAGATTTACTAATCGGCAGACTTAAACACTTGTGCTATGGAGACATCTTAGCAATGATTCTTATATTTCGCTTCTAGTTTCCTCATACACCTGCCTAGGGATGGCCACCAATGAATGTGTCTTATATGCAAGATCTCCCTCTCAATCTTGCCTAACTACAAGGTTTTCTTTTCTTCCTTCCTTCCTTCCTTCCTACCTTCCTTCCTTCCTTCCTTCCTTTCTTTCTTTCTTTCTTTCTTTTTGTTTTGTTTTTTTTTTTTTCGAGACAGGGTTTCTCTGTAGCTTTGGAGCCTGTCCTGGAACTTGCTGTGTAGACCGGGCTGGCCTTGAACTCACAGAGATCCACCTGCCTCTGCCTCCAGAGTGCTGTGCCACCACCGCCCAGCCAAGGTTTTCTTTATGAATTTGGGGAAAGCCATTTATTCAAAGACAATAACAGTTCACAAATTCTCTGCACCAAAAATTTCCTGTATTTTACTTTTAATTGAGACCTTAGGCCTAAATACAGGCTAATAAAAGGAGATAATTCCGTGCACTTCCCCCTTAGTCTTCTGCAGGGCTTTAGTTCTCTTGATCACCATTTTCTTAGCACCTAGAAGGCATTCCATAGACTGTGGCGTGTTTAACCGGAAGAAAAACCCATGCACCCCGAGGGCCCATTTGCCTTAAAGAAGAATCACTTCCACGATTTCCCATTTCATAATGTCAAGTAAGGCAAACAAGGACAACTCAAAAACAGGTGCTGTCTTCCAGGAGCCTGGGCAGTTCAGGTTGAGCACCCCACTACGGGTAAGGAGGGACCTCGGACTGGCGCGGACTGAGCTGGGGATCAGGCATCTAGAATGCCCGATCGAAACCCCACCCTGTGTATCGCAGACCGCTGTCCTTACCTGCACGCCGCAGGGACGCGAGCAACAGTTTCCTTGAGCGTGACAGCCAGACATGGTCCTGACCTGCGCTGGGTTACCCGCCGCGCGCTCTTTCCAGGCCAAGACTCCCGGCAAGAACGCTATCAAGCGGCAGAGAGGGCAGCCTGGGGGCGGAGCAAGAGCGAGAGGCGGGATCTCATAGGGCCTCGTCCATTAGGAGAACCTGCGCCGGCGCAGACCAGCTGGTGGGCGTGCCCATGAGGGTTGGAGGCGGTGTTAGAACGATAGTCCTCGAGTCCTAAGGTGCGGAGCGCGCCCTGTGGGCGGGGCTAGCCCATGCAAGGCGGGGCCTGGGCGGTCCTTGAGGCCGCCGGTCTATCCGCGCTGTAAGCCGTCCCGGAGAAGGCCGGGAAGATGGCGGCCTCCTGGAGGCTTCGCTGTGACCTGCCGCTGCTACGTTACCTCCTGGGCTTCGGCAGCCGTCGAAGCCTGGGCCGGGCTCAGGGTGCTGCAGCGTGGCCTGTCGGCCGTGGAGCGAGCTGGAGGTGGTTTCATGGCGCTCAGCCGCTGCAGGGTGAGTGGCTGGCGCTCGTTGAACTTCTCTCTTTAGCTGAGCAATGGGCCTGGATCGGGGTGTTCTTGTTTGGGGACCCGCTTTTGTGAGTGTAGGTGCCGAGTCTCCCCGTTCCCTTCAACCTCCCCCAGAACGGGTCTCCTGAATTAGCCTATGGCAAGCCTTGCGGCAAAGGACCGTCTTCAGACTTGGTAGAGCTTGACTCGGTCCTTGGCCTCCAGGGCTATATGGCTTCTCTGTGACCTTGCTTTGGAATTTGAGTTTATTTAGATGTTACCGAGATGGGGTCTGTTTTAAATCCCCTATTTTAGACCCTTTTCAGTCACATGTCAGATTCCTTTAGTTTCATCATTCATCTCTATCGTAATAAAGATGACCATACACTGTTACCCATCCTTATTCATTCAAAGGGCCTGTCCTTATTGTGAAACCTTGAATCTTAATTCCATTTAATGGCTCCTTTGCAGCATACAAGACTTAAATTAGAAATACAGAATCACAGACATGACCAGAATGTTTCAAGTAAAACATGTAGCATGAGATTCATACAAGCTCTTGCATAAAATTGCTCTTAAGTAATGGTATTGGACTCGGAGATAAACCCACTGTTCTTCCATTATTTAACATACAGAATATCAAATGGCAGGACCTTTCTTACATGTGTGAGTATGGGCTGGGGTTTAGAGGGACAGAGATGACGTTTTTCAGAATCATTAGAGATGTAAGTCATCATTCTTAGCACCATCTGGTGAAATAGGCATTGTCCACACTTTCAGAGGTGTTTGAGGCCCAGAAAACAAAACAAAAACAAAAACACAGCTTATAGAGTAAAGTGGGTGCTTTGGGGTTCCTAAAGAGTGGGTAATGGGAATTAACCTAAGTCATTTTTGGTATGATGTTTAATAAATGCCCCTTGATAGTGGTCTTTAACAATGTAGTGTATACTGTTTTCTCTGCCCCGTCCTCATCCTCATTTGTGAAAATTGAACTTTCCTACATTTAGCTGAAACGTTGACTCAGGGATGCTTAGGAATCTGCTCCTTACACTTTGTAAGTCTTGATGGATCAAGACTTTTGAGACTCCCTGCCTCAAAACATCATGGAATGTTACAAGCTTAGAACTGGGTGGAATTGCCTGTGAAGGGTCTTACCCTTGCTTGTGAAATATTTTTGAGCATCTGAATGCTCTAAACTCTAACAAAAAAAGAGTTTATGTGCTTGCATACAAAAATGGGCAGTTTCCAAGATCTCCTTACAGTCGATTGCTTCTGCCTTTAGAAATTCACATAGGCAGTTTCCAACAGATAAATCTTGACATTTTGCCTGTTCCTCACCCTCCAGACAGACACCTTGAACAACTTGTCTCTAAGCATCATCTGTAAGGAAGATGGTACTGAATGAGTAGTTTCTTATCATTGCTGCCACTATCAACTTAAAGCATAAATTCATCATCTTAAAGTTCTTGGAGTCAGAAGCATAAAATGGATGTCATCAGGCTGACATCAAGGTGTCTAGTTGAGCCTGCCTTCTTTGGAGGTTCTAGTAGACATTCTGTTTCCTTGGTTTTTTTTGTGTGTGTGTTTTGTGGGGTCTTTTTTTTTTTTTTTTTTTTTTTTTTTTTTTTTTTTTCTTTTTTAGGGGCAAAGGGCTTCTTAAATTCATGGGCTCCTAATTTCTGTCTACCTTCCAGCTCAGTAATGGCTAGTCTATCTCTCTTGCCACTCCTCCTGTCTTCCTTCCATCAGGGGGATGAAGAAGTCTTGTTGCTATGGTGTGCCCACATGGATATTGGATGTTTTCCCTATCTCAAAACCAGTTGATAATGACCTTAGTTCCACATACATCTTCATTCTCTCTTGTTATATATGTAACATATTTCATGGTTTTGGATATTGTGACAGAGACCTCTGATAAGGATATTATGCTACGTGTGAAGCCCAAATTTATCTACCTACTCTTACCTGTGGGCTTTTGTTAAGCTACTTGAATATTATCTATTTTAGGAAATATGAAATTACAGGGTTGTCTTTTCATCTTTATATATAAGGAGTTTCTTTATGAGTTGGTACTAAGAATGATGACTTAAATGTCTAATGAATCCTAAATATGTCTTCTCTGAACCCATCCTAATCTCCAGCCATACTCACACATATAAGAAAGTCCTGCCATTTGATATACTGTATGTTAAATAATGGAAGGACAGTGGGTTTATCTCCATGAGTAAAAATTGTACTTTAATAAAACTAAACTGCTTTCTGGGTAATCAAAGACTCTATGAGTTGGGTACATTTATTAAACCCATTTCTCTTTAACACACTTATATAGGATTTTAAAATCTGTAAATTTGGAAGTACTCTTGTTTTGTTTTCCCTAAAAGGTATTTATTGGCTACCTTTGTGAGCTATGACACATGCTGTGTTCTTAGCTAGTACTTCTTAAATTTTTTATTAACTTTCCTAATGATCTAAAACTTTGGCATTATTGCTATTTACTTGGGTTAAACTACAAAAGCCTAGAAAAAAAAAGTCATACTTTTGTTTTGAACTAAACAATGCTCTGTGTATCTATGTTCAGCCAATCCCTTCTTTCATTCTTTCAACTGAAATGCTTTTTGAGAAGGCAGTGTTACTTGTCACTAGCCTGATTGCATAAATGAGCAAATGTCTGTCAGGTAGTGGGCACATGGCAGCCTACTTACAAAGTGTGATCTACTGAGTAGAACACATTCTTGGAATTCTGCCACCTGGCCCATTCAGTTATATTAAGTTCTGGACATGCAATCCTGAATTTATTTGATATTCTTATTTTTACTGTGTTTATAGGCCACTGGAGAGATATGAAGACAGGAAGGATTTCAGTGGTATATGTAGTGAGCCCTAAGAAGTAAGTTTATGTTGATGAACCAAGGAGTACCTAGAAGAGGGGGCAGTCCTTCCAGGCTGAAGACACAGCAGAAACCCCCAGAAGCCACATATAGTGGTTACGGAATGACACAGCATTTGGAGTTTCTCTGTTTCTACCTTTTTAGACTAGATGGGATTTGGGTTAGGTTTTTTTTTTTTTTTATTGTTATTTATTCATTTATTTGGGTAGGGTAGGAATGCCACAGAACATGTGTGGAGGTCTGAGGACAACTTGTGGGAGTCTGTTCTCTCCTTCTATCATGTGGGCTCTAGGGACTGAACTCAGGTCATCATATTTTGCTGAAAGCTCCTTTACCTATTGAGCCATGTCTTCAGCCAGAGACTTGGATTACTAAGGTATTTAGTATTACCCCAAGCATCAAGGGGGAATGTTGTTTGTGTTCTTTTCATGTACACTGCAGTGATGTGTTGGAAATTAAACACACAAATCCACTTGGTAATGATATTTTGGGGTAGAGTCCCTAGGGAGGGTTAGAATTAGGTGATACCAGAAGAGCAGTGCACCCATAATGGATGGCATCAATGTCTTAAAAAGAGGAAGTTAAACCCAAACTCAGGCCAGCATGCTATACCAAATCTCCTTGTGTTGTGTTGGGTAAACTAGTTCATAAATCAGTCATCAACTTTGAGCTGTTTTGATTTCTCTAAAAACAAAAATGAACCTTGATGAGGGTATGGGCAAAGGACTGTAAGAGCCAGAGATCAGGAAGAAGTGGGATAAAACAGTGTCTTCTGGGCATGAGGGAACTGCTGCATTCCTGAAACCTTAGCAACTAAGGTACCCTGCATAGGATCCCCATACGATCAAGCCAGTCAACATTCCAGCATGAGGGTGGAGCTATTGACAGTTGATGACTGCTAGTCAGTCGGAAAGAGTCCTTTTAGGATTTAGTCCTTGGTAGGTTGACCTCCATCCAGTGGATAGCACCACTGCCATGGATATATGGACAGAACAAATTCTACTCCATGAGTTTAAAGAAAAAAGTGTACCTGATGTTGGGAGGGGTAGACAGGGAGGGATGGACTAAGGAGTTGAGAAGGAAGAATAGGGGTTGAATATGTACAAAATACATTGTATGCATGTATAAAATTCTCAAAAATATTAATACAAAATGTATTTTTAGAATGAGCCTTGGATAGCAAAGTTTAGGAAGTGGGTTCAGAAGTGATATATAATTTATTGAGAGCTTCCCTTGCACTGTGCAGTCTTCCCAATAATTAGCATGAATTAACTCCTCTGGTGCTCACAGACCCATGGTATATGTTCTATGATAATCAGTTTCAAACCATCTGCCCGACACCAAAACTACCTATCAAGAAACTGCTGGGTCATAGACAGCAGAGTAAATCTAGCAGCATGCTGGCATTTTATTCACTGTGTGTCTATCCTAAATGAACTCTTGTAAATATTCTTTGTATTGGGAGTGAGACATACTTTAATAGCTACACCATGAAATAGTAGTTTAGAAACAGTCCTGGTGTAACTACTATTTAACGTAATTTTGGATAAATGCAATTTTAGGCTACATAAGCAGTAGCAGAATTACACAGTATAGTTTGAAAATGTTTATTTCTTACTATCTTATGTTTCCAATTTGCCTTCTTAGTGTTCCCTTAAGCCTTACTTGCTTTTGACAGCAAAATGTGTCTCTGACACATATGTCCATTTCTTTTGCTAAAGTAATTGGAATGGTGATTTCCTTTTGCCCATGTTGCAGCCTTGAAAATAAACTGGGATCCATGTAAACTTTTACTTTCTGGTTTAATGTCAAGCAGCCCAGCACAGAACTCTTCTGGAGCTTGGAGTATTCAGTGTGAGAACATAGATTCTTCTCTTTGAAACTGTCACCTTTCTAGTAGCCTTCTTTGAAATACGCATTGACTATTTCCTGAAAGTATGTGAAACAGTCAATAAGCTGATGATTGAGGCAGGAGGATGGAGGACAGGGAGTTGGAGGCCAGCCTGGAGTACACAGTGAGACTCTCTCTCAAAAACCAGGGGCTGAGATGAATAACACATAGCCCTGGGTTTAGTTCCCTATATTGTGGGATGGTGCTGGAGGTATCAACAGATTGTCTAAAGGAATTGAGCTGTATATGACCCTGGAGTAGGTAGTATATTTGCCATGTCTGCTTTCTGCTCACTACATTTCTATAACTGCATAAGAACTTTCTTCCATTTTTTTCCCATTACAGAAACATTTCTAGGGGAGAACTGACACTGGCAAGCAAGCGTTCAAGACAGTCTTTGGGGAATTTACTAGCGCTAGTTTTGAGAGGGGCACATATCTTTTTGAACACTGATACAAAGCTCTCCCCTCTTCAGAAAAAAAATGCACATTTGCAAAATTTTGTGTTTCAAAGGGACATGGATCCTACCACAATTTACCCATAAGTACCACCTATCCTGTTTCTAGAGACATCTTGGCTATTTCCTATAGAAAGTATTTGTGTTGCTTTGCAAACATATTAAATAAATCTGAGAACAAGAAAGATGTATTTTAATATAGAAATTTCAATTATAAACATGTATATAAGTCACCACAGTAAAGCCAGTAATTGGAAGTCTTGACTCATATCTAGATGTGGGTTAAGGTCACTCTTGGACCATGAGACCATTTGTCCCTAAACATAAATACTTTGTGTTTTCATTTGCTCAGACTCTTCCCTCAAGTGAAGAACTTTCTTCATTATTTAAATGCCTCTCCCAAGTCTTCCCATATAAGTAAACATCCAGACAAGAAATAGTGCTTTCTAAAAGGTAATTGAAGGAGGATTTAGTAAGTGACATTTTTGTGAATTCAAGATGCTGTTTAGAACAAGATGCTTGTCTCCACTGCCTAGAGGGAGCCAGTTGGGAAGACCTCTGAAGTGCTGTGTCCTATAGTGGAGGATTTAGCCAGCCCCTGGTGACTCCACAGGAAGCAGGGTGCTGCAGAAGAACTATACCAACTTCACTCTTCTCTCCCTTCAGTTTCCTGACTGCCCTTTGGCTGAACTCAACTGGAGGTCAAGTGCAAGGAAGCCAGTTTATGTAATCCATTCAGTGTAGTGTGGACAAAGACGAATGAAGACAGCCCCTACATCACTGACTTTTTCCCCTCAGCTGTTACACTGCATTTCTCCCATCATTTTAATGTTTAAACTAGTAACCACTGTATGACGTAAGTATAAAAATTCCCATGTTAAAAAGTAGAATAATCCAAATATAATGTCTGTTCTTGGAGAAGTCAAGTATAGCTTCTGTGGATTGTATCTGTAGAACAGTAACAGGATTTTACTCTGCAGTCTAGGCTGGCCTTGAACTGAAGATGCCTATGAAATATTCAGCCAAGATTTATTCTTTATGTAAAAGTAAGCAAGCACATTCATCTATAAAACGTTGCTTCTGTCTTTAATAAATGATAAAATTATGTACTTACTTTAAAATAAATTTCTTTGTAATTTTGTGTATTTGTGTATACATGAACATGTGGAGGGCAGAGGATAACCTCGGTCATTCCTCAGGATCCTTCTTTTATGTTTGAGAGAGAGTCTTATTGGCCTGGAACTTTGAATAGGCTAGACCAGCTGGAGTGGCTTTTCAGGGGATATGCCTCTGTCTCCCACATCTCTATTGCTGGGGTCACAAGCATGTGCCATGGCACCTTGTTCCAGACTTTGGAGGGGGGACACCAAACAGCTCCCAAATGAAGGCATGGAGACTTATTAGTTATGAACACTCAGCCTTATCTGAGCTCTTATTTCTTGCTAGCTCTTATAACTTAAATTATCCTGTTTCCCTCCATCTACATTTTTCTCAGAGCTTTTTACCTTTCTTTATGTATGCCCAACTCTGTGTCTACTGACTGGCAGCTGCCTGGCTGGCCATGGTGTCTTCCTCTCCCCCCACCCCATCTCCCATCCCCTTTCCCCCTCTCCTCCTCCCTTCTCTCCTCTTCCTAGATTTTTCCTCCTACTTATTCTCTCTGCCTACCAGTTCCACTATCCTTTCTCTGCCTACCTATTGGCCATTCAGCTCTTTATTAGATCAATCAGGTGCCTTAGGCAGGCAAGGTGAAACAGCAATACATCTTTTCATAATTAAACAAATGCAGCAAAAACAAATGTAACACCCTTATGTTGTTAAACAGGCAGCACAAACATATGTAATATACCTTTATGCAGTTATTCCATAGCAGCTCCTGACTTTTGTTTTTGTTCTTTTATTATTATTTCTTTTACTTTTCATATAATTACATCATTTTCTCCTTCCCTTTCCTCCCTTCAAATCTACCATATACCCCTCCTTGCTCTCTTTCAAATTCCATTTCTTTTTCATTATTGTTGTTGCCTGCATATATGTGTGTGTATGTGTCCATATTAAATATATATATATATATATATATATATATATGTATGTATATATATCCTAAATATAACCTGTTTAATATCACTTGTATGTATGTTTTCAAGGCTGACCATTCGGTATTGGATAAGCAATTGATATGTTCTCTCCAGGGGAAGATAATTCTCCTGCCTCAGCATTCCTTAGTTGTCTGTAGTTCTTTGTGTATGGTTGAAGCCTCATGGTCTTTCCCCCAAGAACTATGACTTGTTTGCTGTCCTTGTTCGGCTCCTGTTTAAACAGTCATGTTGTGGGACTTTATGGGCATAGCTTCTGACTTTACTAGGAGGTACATTTCATAGCAAAACACCCTGATCCTCTGACTCTTAAAATCTTTCTAACCCCTTTTCTAAAATGTTCTGAGCCTTAGGTTGGGGAGTTGTCTTGCCCTGGGACTGGGTTGCAAATCTCTGCCTTTTGATTGGTTGTGGCTTTCTGTAATGGTTTCAGTCAGATGCTAAGAGAAGTTTCCTTGATGAGGATGGGAACAATAGATTTTGAAAGGAAAAATATTGGCTTAGGACCCTCAAGACCAAGTTGTCAGCACAAAGAAGGGACAGATGGTAGGAATAAGGGACAAAGACAGGAGATAGAGTAAGAGGGAGAAGGGGAAGGAACAAGGGAAAGGAGAGAAGGGGTACTTTCCCTAGAAGCAAAAGGACTGCCTCTGGATAGAGAGGAGATAGACCTGGCCTATAGGAAAATGGCAGCTTATAAAGATACAATGGGGGCACCCCATGTCAGGATGAGGTATTTAATTTTAATTGGGCATATTAATTAGATGAGCCAAATGGGGACTTTTGATTGCAGGATTTCAATACTTTGATAGCTGGACCTTGGTATTAGTGTCAGGATGGGGGATTGGACAAATAGGAATGAACCTTGGGGCTAGCTTTAGGGATGGAATCCAGTGGTTTTTAGAAAGACAAGGAATGGGAGAAGGGCAGGGCCTGCCAGAGCCACATGATGGAGTGGACTACTGTACCTTCACATTTAGTAAAGTGGTGGTTGTAGGTTCTCCTAGAGCCACGACTTCACTAGCCCTGAGTAATAATTGGCTACTTGTCCAGTATCAGGCATGATTTCCCTCATTGAGTGGGTCTTAAGTCCAATTACATTAGAAAGCTGCTGGATGCTAAGGTTGTGTCCCACCGCTGCACCCTTAGGGTTATTGTGCCATGCTGGTCATTGCTGTGGTTCATAGGTGCTATTGCTGATAGGACTACTGGTTACTTCCCTCATTTGTACATTGTTTTAGTCTTTGTTTATGTGCAAACACTAGGTAGCAAATGGATATCATGTATTACCATTGTCTTTGGAGTGTTTGTTAGCATGTCAGGCAAGCCCTGTAGCAGCTGTTTTCATACATAATGTTGTATATTTGTTTCTGTCACAGGCTGTAGATGTCTCAGTCTGTTCTACCAGCACTACAGAAAATAGTGAGGCACAAAGAAAGCTGGCAGCAGTCATTTATTTTAAAGTGACACTGAAATTGCCTTTATGCACTGCTGCAGTCTTACTGTTTTGTTCCCTGGTGCTGGGTTTAAATCACATGTCCTTCATTCTGCTGTATTCCATTTAGCCTGCAGATGGCAGGATTGCTTTATTTGAACAGCAATTTTGAAGCTGCATTTTATTAGTGATTCCTGTGTTGGAGCTAAGAAAATACTGAGCAATTTACTTTTGTCTTTGCCTATTCATTTCAAGGTTTTTGTGTGCTTAGGTAACAGTCCAGTAAATGGGCTAGAGCATGCCTTGGCTGTACCATATATAAACTGCCCAATGTCCTTTAATCACTTTCATTATTGTAATGGAGCTTAGATCTGCTTCATGTTAACAACACAAAGCAATTAGTTCTGCATTTATATTTTAAGAGTTTGTTATAGTAATTTCTGTGTTAATCCAATGACCTTTTATAATTCCTGTATCTATCATGAATTTAAATCTTCAACATAATTGATTTTGCTTAAATATGAGATTTGTTGCCAGGATAAAAATATACATTAGGAAAGAGAAATTAGAATCAGATTATTATGCCACATTTAAAATTAAAGCTGAATCTTGCTGTAGGAAAACTGACAACAGATTTGAAGAACTAAATAGATCACTTCAATTTGGTGATAAATTGTTCATACAGTTCATATTGTATAATAAGCAACATTCCAAGCAGTCATTTATTGTGTTGTTCATATGAGACAGAAAGACAGTAAAATAGTTTTATTGGTTTGTGGGACATTTAAAGGTTAGTGTTTTAAATATGGAAGCAGAAGTAGAAATCCATAACTAACCAAAGGGCCAAGCTCCTGAAGTACAATTGAAGTGAGGGAGGAGTGAAAATATGAACAAAGGAGTCACGACCATGATGGGGAAACCCATGGAATCAGCTGACCCGAGCTAGTGAGAGACCACTGACTCAGGTCTGACAATTGGGGAACCTGCATAAGACCAAACTAGACTCCCTCAATATAGGTGACAATGGTGTGATTGGGACAGTATATGAGACTACTGTCAGTGGGTCCAAGATCTAACACTAATGCATAAACTGACTTAGTGGAGCCCATTTTATATGGAGAGAAACCTGCCCAGCCTAGACACAGGGGTGTGGGGTGGAGAGGTGCATTGGTCCTGCCTCAACTAGATGATGGGACAGATTTAGTCTACTTCCTAGGGGAGGCCTTACCCTCTCCATGGAGCAGATGGGAGGAGGAAAGGGGAGTAGAGGGTTTGGGAGGGAAGGAGGGAGGAAGAACTGGGATTGGAATGTAAAAAATTAATTAAAAAATGAACAAAAAAAGTGTTTTAAAATGAATTAGTAGAAACATATAACACTATAATCTTAATATTTTTATTGTTTTATAACTTTTGTATATTGACTCACTTGCCAATCAGGAATATTCTAACTTATTTATGAAAAGAAACAGGCACTGAACTGCTACAAAAGTTAAATTCTGGCAAAATACTAAATATGATTAAGTATTATTTTAAATAAACTGGTATAACTAGTTGAACAAAAACCTGACTTCCTTTATCCTCATGTTTCCTCTAGTCTCACTGATAGTTAGGGAAGTTGAAATTAGTAGGAAATAGTTGGTGCACATTTCACAGTCTTCTCAGTGAAATGTACTGTTTACTGGAATGAAGGAGGAGGCTGTAAATACTATCTAATGAAAATGAAATAGCATGGGTACAACTTAATCCTATTCCAGGGAGCTAAAGAAGCATATACTAGGCCTGATACCTAAAGCCTGGTTTATTATTGTATGCTTACTTTCCCCACCAGAAGAAAAAAAAATGTTTGGGAAAAAAAGTGTATAATATTCCAATCCAAAGGGGATCTGTTAGGATGAAACATGTATTCTTGTTAATAAGTTATTGTGAATGGTTTAAAATGGCATTTCTAGCTGGAAAGTCTGCAGACAGGTTGGTTAGAATTGGAGTATATGGCACATCTGTAGTAAACCAGCACAATCAGTCAAGAGACAGCACTGAATAATGACAGTGTCCAAAATAGCTTTGTTTGCTTTTTGTCATCTTCACAGAGTGAAAGGGTAGTGATCTACTGTGGGATTTTTTACATTTTATTGTCATCATTCAGAGAAGCAATTGTAGTTCACCCATAAAGAGTGACTGTGTGAAGAATGTTTAATTTTTTTTACTTTTAAAATAAAAATTCTGGAGTTCTTGATGTTGTACTTTGAAAAATAATGCTTAATAAATGCAGACATTTCATAATATAGTCTTTAACATTAGGAGTAGTGGGAATACGAAGGTCTCTTGGGTGAGAGATTACCAAAGGGATAATAGTAAGAGCTGCTCATATCATGGCATCTGAACCAAGTGTAGAAATACTAGAAAGTCTGTTTTGAGAGAACTGATTTAATGTTTGTCATAAATCATGATCCGATTGTGGAAGCACTGTGTCCTTCTATTTCACCTCTCTGAAGTAGAATTCTAGGTGGCAGATTGACATTTGTATGATCGTGACATCCTGTCCCATTATGCCAGGCTTGAACTTTTTAATAAGAGCTATGTATGGGGGCGGGGGTTGTTTGTATTTTTGAAGCTATGCTTTTTAGAGAGTGGCTTGCTATTTAGAAATGGTGCTATTTAGAAATAGCACTAAATAGTGGTGCTATTTAGAAATAAGGGTGATTTTGCCTTCTTATTTTCCAAGCATGTTTGTCCCTGAGTTTAAAAAATACATGTTGAGAGTTGAGCTTGATGTCTTCATTTGTTTAGCAAGCTGTGAAAATCAATACTCAACATAATCCGAGATTTAAAAACGCATTACTTCAAAGTATGTTTCATGTATTAAGTTTTGAACACTTGCTGAACTTTTCATAACTATGAGTATACCATCGTTGTGATTTGGAATTAGACATACATTTCTAATGCTTCAATAAGTTAGCATTCACACACATGCAGGTATGTATGTATGTTTTCTCTAAGTAGATTCCTACTTCCAGTTGACTTAAGACTTTGATGACATCTTAAGAGAACAAGAGTATTGAGGTGGTATAGTTGTATTATTTCTACCTATCTAGAATCCTAATGTGCTTCTTTTAGTGCATAAAGGGTTTTTTTTTTTTTTTTTTAACCAAGAAAAAGACTTTTAGAGCTGTGTTGTGTAGCTATAATTTGCATCTCAATTGGTGTTCATTTGGGAATTAAATGAAATTATTGGTGATAATGAAGAAAGCCAGAGTAGACAGGAGTTGGATGGTCTATGGTCTCCAGGCTCTTTGCAAACTACAATGCTTTAGTAATAAATTTGGAGTAAGAGACCCATTTAATCTATTTCTCTCTCATATTTTTTGTTAATATTTTAACTTTATTTTACATGTGTGGGTGGGCATTCTAACTGTATGTATGTCTGTGTATCCATGTGTATGCCTGGAGCCACAAGGCCAGAAGAGGTCATCAGATACCCTGGAACTAGATAGAGTTACAGATGGTTACAGGCTGTTATGTGGGTTCTGGGACACAAACCCAGGTCCTCTGGAAGAACAGCAAGTTCTTTTAACCACTGAAATAACTCTCCAGCCTGTATTTGTATCTGTCCTAATACATCTGAGATTAGCTGCTCTCTGCTGCATTTGAAACATCCCTTATCAGTTGTGAAAGTGCTTTCTTAGTACTGCAATTCTTTATGCCCAAGGAAAAGGATTATTAGGTATTTTGTTAGACTTATGAAGACTGCACATGTGGAGTTGATATGTCTGGTTTGCTGTCGTTGATTTCTTCGTGACTAGGTTACCCATAACCAGCAGTTAAATGATGAGTTGCATTTAAGGGACATTAAGGAACACAGAGACCCAAAGTGAGGTAGCATAGTAGGGGCTAGCCCTGAGGTAGGCAGGAAGACTAAACTCTCTTACTATGAACTGCAGTTCTGTCATTGAAAATGGGAATGTTGCCCTGGTGGTGATGGCTGCACACCTTAAATCCCAGCACTCAGGTTACAGAGGCAGGCAGATCTCTGTGAGTTTGGGGGCAGTCTGGTCTACACAGTGAGTTCTAGAACAGCCGGGGCTATTTGTTACTTGGAGAAACCCTGTCTCGAAAAAACCAAAAAAAGAAAATGGGAATGTCAACAGGGAGTACAGTGTAGACTCATCATTGGGCTGTTATGAGTGGTCATTCCACTTTTCTAGCTCTTTAACACTGTGATACCAGTTAAAAGTCAGGTAAATGGAGATTAGATTGATAGGTAGAGTCTAAATGCTGATGGCTTGATTGGAATAGGGAATGGCTTAAAATCTGAGGCCATCTGTGTTATCCTTCTCAGTATAGCCCTGTATTTAGACTTTGGGTTTTTTGGTTGCGGTCAGGAGGTTGTGTGTGAATTGCTGCCTCAAGCCCACAGAACCCCAGTGACTGGAGAAGATAGAAATGTACCTATGGATCTCTTTGAAAGATGATTGATTATCACCTAGCCCATGGAAGGAAAACCTAAGAGGAAAACATATTTCCTATAACCAGAAAACTTCAAAGAAATGAATGCTTTCCCCTGACTACGTGACTTGAAAGGACTGAAAATGCCTTTACCATGAATGGCATTCTCCATTTGAAACTACAGTAAAATCAATTAGGTTTCCAAAAGGAAATTTCTGATCCTCTTAAGCATTCCTGTTAAATCCTCTTGCTTGTAATCCTCTAATATCAACAGAGAAAAGGAAACCATATTCTAGCCCACATTTGGAATGTGTGAGCTGTGCTGCAGTCCTTGAGAGTTCATTGGGACAGAGGACATTCTGTGTTGCTCTGGTATTCTACTGCAATAAGTTTCATATAAGTTGTAGTGTAAAATTCACATGATCTTCCAATGAGGTCCTCCTATACAGTGAAGACTTTTGGGAAGGCTGTTGCGTGATCAGGTGGTATCTCCGTTAGATGTCTAAGGAGAAAGTAGTTCCTTAGCTGTGCTTCACTGAGAAATCTCATGGGTCACCTATTAGGATATGAGGTCTGCTTATCACCTTAGGTTTTCCTGCCCAATCCCCCTTGACAAGACTGTTCCTGCTCATACCTACTAGCAACAACAGTTGCAGATTGAAAAGTGTAGAATTAGAACAAATTAAAATAATCAGGTTCATAATGTCTGATCTCGGCCATTATTTTGTAGGACATTAGAATCCTGTCTTGATTTTGTTTCATGTCTTTTGGTCATGAAAAAGGAGCTGAAAGTATTCTAAATATTTAAGTATTCATTAAACAAACCTAAAATTTTGGTTTTTCTGTAGTCACTTCTCAATAGGCTGTGAGGTACAGTGTGTGTGTGTGTGTGTGTGTGTGTGTGTGTGTGTGTGTGTGTGTGTGGTGTATGATGTATGTGTGTGTGTATGTATGTGTGTATTTTGGTTAATCTTTTCTGTTTTCAATTTCAGCGGATCCTATTAAGATCCTAATGCCATCACTGTCTCCTACAATGGAACAAGGGAACATTGTGAAATGGCTGAAAAAGGAAGGTGAGCAGTGTGTGCCAGTGTCTTCCCAGCTTGCTTATTTGATCATTTTATTCCCATTACACCATGTATTTTATTTGATTTGTGTTACAAAGGAAGAAGATGTGTTTCTTTGCTGGTTAGTGTAAATTTATGTAAATAAAAACTTCCCATATTGGTGTATCAGAGTTTTCTGGGTTAAACTATGTCTTTTTACTTTCATATAATAGTGAACATTTCAAGACTTTCCCTTTCAATATTTAGTTCTTTTCATGGCCATTGGTTTCAAAATAATTATCATTCTGCTTAATTTATGACGTTATTGTAGTACATTTGTGTGTCTGCTTGCTTTCCTGGAAGTAGGAAAGTTGGGAGGGTTTTTCATGAGAAATAACAAATAAATAAGAATATAAGGAAACTCTTTAAAAAGAAGCAACAGCAACAGGAAGGAATATGGTTTGCTAGCTACTGGGCCTTTAGGCTCTGTAAAACTGTGTGTGATAGGTGCTTCAAAACACAGACTGGTGGAACAGAATAGAAAATTGGACAATAAATACAGATGTTTTGGGTTTGAAAACCACACAATATTAGATTCCTTGTTTGTGTTGTGTCAAGACTAAATTACAAATAAGTCAGATTCCATATAAAAATAAAAACATTTGTTGCAAGTACTAGGAAAAAGCTTGATAGATTCCTCTACAGCTTATAGTGTTGTGAATTCCCTGCCTCTCAGAATCCATAGGCAAAAATGGGAACAAGTGTTAAATTTGCTGAAAAAAGAATTATATTGTAGGTCTTGAGAAAATGCTTAGTAGTAAAGAGCACTGGCTATTCTTCCAGGGGAAGTCCTAGCCACCCACATGGTAGTCCAGTTCCAGGGAATCCAACTCTTTCTTCTGGCCTCCATGGGCACCAGGCACACAAGTGATACATATGCATACATGCAGACAAAACACTTATGCACAGAAAACAAAATAATAATAATAATAATAATAATAATAATAATAATATGTTTATATAACAGAAAACACGGTAAGCCACATAAAAAGAATCTAGTGGCAAATTGAAAAACAAGAATATTTGTAGCTTGTATCATGAAATGTGAATGCTCCCAAAAAAAGTCAATATATGATCAGGTGGGTTACAGAAAATAGGTTCCAAATTGCTCTTAAATGTGGATTAAAAGATGCTTAATCTGTGTACTGATAAAGTAAGCAAATAAGTACTACTGAAATATCATGTTCACTATTATATACAGAAATGTAGAAGTTTGACATTTGATCTGTGGATGGAATGGTGGAAGTGGGTGCTCTCAAATACTGAGAGTGCAAAATAGTCTAAACGCCAAGAATCCTCAGTGTTTAGAAAGATTATGTTTGTATTTATTTCCAGAGACTTCCACCTTGATGTTACACTGGTAAAAATAAGACAAAACCTACCACACATGAGACTATTTATTACAGCCCTATTTATAATAACAGAAAATGGAGGCAGCCCAAATGGTGGTCAGGATGAGAGCTGTTGACTTTTACAATGTCTATAATAGTATAAAGAAGTGAACAGTACCTCCTGTTGTGGAGTAATGGTCAGTGAGAAATAGCAGGGTAGAAACAAGGGCAATGTAATTTATCAGAAAGAGGAACGTCAGTGCCCGGGCTTTGGTGGCCTAGGACTGTGGGTAGAGTTAGTGGTAGAGCACTCACCAGCAGGTGAGAGGGCCTGGAATCAGCATCAGGGGAAGGATAAGAGAAAAGCTTAAAAACACCAAGCGCTTGTGATGACAAGGACAGGGTGGGGGAGACAGAAAGACTAGAAGGTGGATGTCTCTGAAAAGGTGGATGTATATTTTTGCAGGTGAACCTGACCATACATCTGGTTGTGGGTAAGGCTATTTTAAATGTCAGTAAATTTGCCTATAAATGCCTAATGGATTCTAGCTGAAGGAGCTCCAAAAACAATCCTGAGGGTGAGTGATAGTTGGATAGTGATGTGAATGTCAGGCTTATATATGTATTTTACAGAATAAATCAAAGGAATAGTTAAGCTCATGGGTCTGGGACCCTGTGCTTTGCTGTGAGTCACAGATAAAACAGGTGAACAATAGTAGAGGTTAAAGAAAGACGCTGTGGCAGTAATTTTCAAGGTCTTTCCTGGAAATACGTAGAAACAAGGACCAACCTAGAAGGCAAGAGCACTGCCATAAAGCATTGTGCTTTAGTCTCTTCAGTCCCAGCTCCCACTGAAGTAAGTGAAACTCCTTGAAGCATGGTTACTGCTAGAGTAGGAAGTATGCCTTTGAAACTATAATACCCTGTTAGTTCAGGAAGCAAGGGTACGATCAAAAACCTAAGAGGGCATTTTATAGACTTCAGGAGCCAAAGCAAGGTAGTTTAAGGATCAATAAGGATGATAAACAGCATTTGAGTATACACTAAGTAAGTGTGTTTGAACCCTAAGTTCTGAGTTACACTAAAAACTAATAGTGATTGAAAAACTTCGGAGGATTCTAGAAAATTAACTCATTTTGAAAGTAGTAATAAATGGAAAGACTAACTATCCCTCCCCATCTTTTCTCCAAACTGTAGCTGAAGGTAATAACTGCATAATTGATAAGAAGAAATGTCTCATTGTTGGCATACTTCAGCTGTTAAAAGTGTAAAAGTCATTCTAGTATCAGTGTGTCACTATTTTACTGTCTGTTGTGAAATAATAGACGTAGCTAGTGATTGGTGGTGGCTGCTAGCTCACGATAAGAGAGGCAGCTAGGTAGTCTGTGGGGTTAATATACCCCACCTGTCATGAGTAGACTGTACTTAATTTAAGCCTGCCATGTTCAGTGAGAAGTGGGACGTGTTTCATGACACCATGAGGAATGGTGAACAAGCCATAGATTGGGGAATGCTACAGGCCAGTTTCTTGAACAAATAAATTTCAAGAGTGGCATGCAGGGAGGCTGACCTAAACCATAAAAGACTTAAGAGACTAAGGCAGTGTGGAGACCTTATTTTGATTATGATTTAATCAAACTGAAGAGACATTTTTAAATCTGGCTGGATTTTGAATACTATGAAGGAACCATTCTCTTTAGAAGTTTAATGGTGCTGTAGTTCTCTCCAGGGGCTAGCACTTGTAACAATTGTGTATAAAATGATGCTAGGACTATGATTAGCTTTGAGGTGACAGTGGTGGAAACTTTAAGGCCAGGGACAGGGATGGGTGAAACAAGACTACTTATGACTACACTTGATGATGTGACTTCATGAACTTTCCTTGCCACTTTTGTGTATGTTTGAACATTTGTAATAATGTATATATTTTAGAAGTTGTATTTAGTACCTCTGTAATATAAGCTAAAGTGAGAAACTACTCTTTAGTTTTTTAAAGTATCAGATGATTTTGATTGTTGGTATTACTAAGTTATTAAGAATACTTGATACAAAACTGTCTTTAAAGTCGTGTTTATCTACTGTGTATAGCAGCCATTTTTCCAGAACTCTTATCATGGTGGTTAGAAAAAAACAAAAACCAAAAAAACAAAAAACCCTGAATTTCCAGGCCAAGGAGGTGACAGACAAGGGGGGAAAAAGTACCACCAGTGTGAAGGAAGCTGGGGAAAACCCTCTATTTTCTGGACTCTGCTTTTCTTTTTCCTTTTTCCATCTTTTGGTCATTGTTCCCTTGGTAGTAAGAGTAATTGTTGTGCCCAAATTCTGAACCCTCAAAATCACCAAGAGACCCCATCCAATGCAAAAGTAAATAAGTTAACAAGCTAACTGTATTAACTCGGTTCCTTTGTCCTACTGACATGGCGGGTGGAACAAGAAGGACCCAGAGACACCAAGGGGCAAAGATGTTATTGGGACAGAGCAAGGGGAGTGTCTAGGGGTCCACAACCATCTCAGGATTGGTGCACTTCTGGGCCTGGGCTAATTTGTCAACTGGTTGCTATGGCCTATAAGCCCTCCCAGGGCAATTGCTATGCTCTGTTACTGTGAAGCACATTCAGAACCCTCCAGCTAACTTCTGATTGGTTCCTTGCCACATGGAGGGTATCTGACCTCCTAGTGACTGGGGCAGGTCGGGCAAGGTCTAAAGGCTGGAAACTCAGCAACATGTGCTGAGTCAGAGGCCTACATCTTACTGGGTCTTTTCTGCAGCCTGCCATGGCTGCCAAAACAGGGAGCTGGGTAAGAGTCTGGTCCCTTCATAATCCCTCCAGATATTAGCCACTGGCAGATGTCTTCCTACATGCTGTCTAGCTGTCCTTCCCTCCTCTTTATTCATGCTCCAACATTTGAAGGAAAAAGGACAGATTTTTAATCTATTCAAAATCACTAGATATACAGAGAAATTTTAGGCAACCAGGTGCACTCTCCCTAATATTTGTCTTGAAGGCTGGTCAAGCAAGTGCTAAAAGAGAACAGAGGAGAGAAGAGTAAGTGGCAAGCTCTGGCAAAGACTTTGAGGGGGTCCCCATGTGATGTGAGCACAAATGTCTTTAAAACAAACAATGCTGTTAAATGGTCCAGTCTGGTGTTTAATGAATAGTACATGCAACATTGAGAGCATGGACATAGATTGTAACCCTCACAGTTATGTTCTGACTCCCAGAGGTCTAGCATTCAGATGTCACTTCTGCCACTGATGACATGTGTGGAGACCAGGAAGAGAGTGGTCAGGTATTTAGTTGAGAAATATGCCAGAGTCCATCAGGGTCATAGTCCCAAAAATGAGGTGTGGAGTCAGTGAGGAAAAGAGAGAGAGATACAGAGATCTCTCAGGGATCTCCTCAGAGAAAAAGAGAGGGAAAGTAGGCAGAGCTTGTTCTCTTAAATGGACCTTTGTACCTGTGTACTGAGCCAAGGTACTGCCTGACATGGGTCCCAGATCTCCAAGTGATGGGACCAGGTTTGCATTTGCCTGCATGGTAAAAACTCCCATAACACATTTAAGAATCATTAAAAATGAAAGTAAAGGGTGCTGAAGAATTATAATTCACAAAGTCAAAATGCTGGGACTTTTGCCATGTGGTTCATGCCAGAAGTGAGCTTGCTAAATGAGCTTGGTGGTTTAGGACAGCACTGCTTTTCTTTGAAAAACATCTGGGTGCTAGGAAAGGCAAGAAAATGCATGACAACGTGGACCTCACAGCAGAAGTTTGGTCATAAAAATCAGGCTGGAATGGAGGTAAGGGATATGGTATAACTGATGGATCTTAGATATTACATTTGACTGGTAACGTTGCTTAGCTCTTTTTCTTTGTGGGGAATGTGTTTGTGCATTAGTATGCTTTCTTCCCTGGTTATGAGCAGTTTGGGCAGCTGCTGTAAGCAGTTAATGGGTAGGGCCAAAAGCCTGGAATGTAACAGAAATCCTTGAAGGCTTTAAAGATGAGCTAGTCCCTATAGAATAAATGGACTTTAAAATAAAGTGAGAAACCCCCAAGAGCCCACCCAGAGCAGGGAACAGAAATGTGGAGCTATGTGCTCTGCTGGACCTGAGCTGTGGCTCTGGAACTGCAGAGAAGGAGATTTGAGCTGGTCAAGAGGTAGGAAGACAGAAGCCAGGCGTTAAATTCAGGCTTGAGTGTGGTTGGTTTTGAGATCCTTGTTAGACACTGAAGCAGGTTGCTCAGTGTGTTACAGAGCATAAGGGCTGGGTTGGTGACAGAAGAGTTAGTCATTAGCATATGGGTAGAGTTCAGTGCTATGTGACAATATAGTTATTGTTGAGTTGTCAATCTGTATATAATAAGAATGCCTATACCCTTAAGTTTCCTCTCAGGGGCTAACCTTGTGAGGCCTTGGGGTTCAAATTTACAAATGGGACTTTGTGAGGGAGAACTCAATGGCTGAAGCAAAGGTTCCTCAACTTTTAATACCTTTGAAATATCTGGCCAAAGCCATCCTGTTACGATAAATCTTTCCGCCAAAAGACGCCAGAGCCCTACTGCCACATGGGCGGTCTCTGCCAGCCGCCTGAGTTCTGCCCACCCAGTTAGGGCCCAAATTAATGCACAGAGACTTATATTAGGTACAAATGCTGCTTGGCCAATGACTAGAATTTCTCATCTGCTAGCTCAGTCTTAATTATCATAAATCTATATATTTTATAAGACTTATAGAGGATGCCTTCCGCTGGCACCCTCTCTTGCTGGTGGATCACATGGCGCCTCTGGAGGATGCAAAGGGGAAAAGGGGACACTTCGTGTTTGTCCTTGCTTAAATATGAGTCTTCTTGCTATGTCACTTCCTGCCTGGATCACCACTTCTCAGAACTACATTTCCCAGAATCCTCTTTGACTCCTAGTCCCATCTAATTTGTTGCCTCATTGGCCAAACAGTACTTTATTTATCATCCAGCAAGACAAACACATACACAGAAGCACTTCCCCCATCACCATCCTAATGGAATAATCCATGCAGGATTCCAGGGTCCAGTCCCATTTGCTGAGGGCTCTGTCCCAAACTTAATGATGTGCCCAGAAGCTGTCATCTAGGAGTGAGACTCCGAAACATAGCCGGCAGAGACTATTCCCCCAGGATCTACCAGTAAACTCAAAATATGTGAATTTGAATTTATTAAACATATAAGAGAAGGAATTTCAAATGACAACATAGACACATTATGCAAAAACATCAGGCAAAGAGAAGACCAAATGGAAATTCTAGTCGTGAAAAGTGTTGGCCACAAACTGGAAAACAATATTGAACGTTGGGTGAAAAGAGAAGGTTTGTGAACGCCACACAGGAGGTAATAGTGGGGGATTAGAAAGAGAAGTCTAAAATGAGACATCCAGTAGGGCTAAAGGAGAAGATGGAAGACAGAAAAGATTCAAAGAAACATCTGACAGTGCCTTCTAGAACTTCAAGAGTCACATAAACCAAAGCCAGTGCTTCACTCATGCACTTGGGGGACTGGCTTTGCATGGCTACTGCCATTGTTTAAAGTAATTAATTATCAGTGGCTAAGGAAGCTCCACGTTTCCAAGTAATGTGATCCCTGGGAGTCTGTTTTCCCCTCATGACTTAGAGCCTTGTCTGTTTTCATACTCATTACTGCAGGAAATTGGTACCTCTAAACAGTGATTCAGAAATATTAAGTTCCTTCACACTTTGAGAATTTACGGGCCTGTAGATGTGAGTGTGGCAGCTCACTGGCAGTCTGATGAGGTACTCCCAGTGGAACCAGGCAGTGTGATCAAGAGGCAGGATGAGTGTAGTTCAGCCATCTGTTATGCTTTTCCTACAATGCACTCCTTTCATTAATGACAGGCAATGATATATTTCAATCTTCTGGAGCATATTTCCCTGCTGTTTGCTTTTAAAATCATGTATT